AAAAAAATCTCTCTCTTTATTTATTCCTTCTCTTTCTAGCTTGTACTTATTTGAACAATGTCTAAGAATTTGGTATTACAACCACTTCCTGTGTCTGTTTGCCTCTTAAGAAGAATCGCTTTATGTATCCCCCAATTGTAAGTCGCTTTGGATAAAAGCGTCTGCTAAATGACTAAATGTAAATGTAAATGTTTATTTTAATTTCTGTATATTTCCTACTTGCTGAAGGGCACAGGTAAATATGACATTTACTAGTAATTAGTTGTTGTTATTTTTTTAAGTCTAGTAAATGTTAAAATTGATAGTTCTCAATTATACTGTAATGCTGAATGGCCGTAGTCAATGGTTAAATATTAGGAATAAAGAACAACTTCATAGAGACATCAGTAGTACTGGTATCAGTGATACCAAAGACTATAGAAATACAAAGATGGTTCACTCCTTTACTTATGAATGGGAGAAACTGCAACGCGCAATATGGCAGAATAGTCCCACCTTCTAAATGAAAGAGCCCATCGCTGATCGGTAAAGTCATCGCGTCACTGCAGCGGCCTTTAGATGCTCCGGTTCCCATAGAAACCTGAGGCTAGACCAGTCAATGCTTAGTGCAGTCATAAGCACGTTGGAACTGCACATAAGGCTAATCTAGCCTGAAATATAAGCTTTTTAAACGGTATTTAAGCATAAGAAACAACTTTCATGAGGCAGTTCATTTCAGATTTTGTTGCTGATTTGAAATATGTAATTTAATTGCAAGTTCAGCAATTTAGATAGGACTTGGTCTTGTTTGAGCTGCCCAGAGGCATTGCAAATATGGCCGCCGAACGAACAGACTTTCCTTGAAAGGGACTTTGGTGATACTCACCTTCAGTCATAAAAAAGATGCCACTAAACAAATATTAAAAATATACTGTCTTTATGTTGTTTCTACATTCATTTGAAGATTGCATGTGAAATTATTGCAATCTAAAAGTATAATTAAAGACTTAAATATTAGGTGGGATTAATCGCAATTAATCACGATTAATTTCAGAAAAAATGTGCAATTATCTAATAACCAGCTGCTGTGATGTCTGTTCATCAAAGAACAAAAGAAAAAAGAGGAAATCAATAACTTTTGTAGGATTCATCTATATAACTTAGAATTTAGTGTTTGATAACTTTAGTTTATGCATTGCACAACATCAGAAAGATCAGGCCCTTTCTAACGGAGCACCTGAGGCTAGACCAGTCAATGCTTAGTGCAGTCATAAGCACGTTGGAACTGCACATAAGGCTAATCTAGCCTGAAATATAAGCTTTTTAAACGGTATTTAAGCATAAGAAACAACTTTCATGAGGCAGTTCATTTCAGATTTTGTTGCTGATTTGAAATATGTAATTTAATTGCAAGTTCAGCAATTTAGATAGGACTTGGTCTTGTTTGAGCTGCCCAGAGGCATTGCAAATATGGCCGCCGAACGAACAGACTTTCCTTGAAAGGGACTTTGGTGATACTCACCTTCAGTCATAAAAAAGATGCCACTAAACAAATATTAAAAATATACTGTCTTTATGTTGTTTCTACATTCATTTGAAGATTGCATGTGAAATTATTGCAATCTAAAAGTATAATTAAAGACTTAAATATTAGGTGGGATTAATCGCAATTAATCATTTAGTGTTTGATAACTTTATTCAATTTCGGTATATTTCTGCTGAGGGGCACAGGTAGCTAAATATAACATTTATTATAATGGGTTTATGTGAAGATTGTTTTAAGTTCACTTAAATTAGAAGTTATTTTTAAAGTCTAATAAATGTTAAAATTGATAGCTCTTAATTATAATGTAATGTTTAATGGCTATAGTCAATGGTTATAGTCTCTTCAGTCATAAAAAAGATGCCATCAAACAAATATAAAAAAATATGTTCTTTGTACATTAATTTGAAGATTGAATGTGAAATATTGCAATATAAAAGTATATTTAAAAACTTTAATGTTAGGTGGGATTAATCGCAATTAATCACGATTAATTTCAGAAAAAATGTGCAATTAATTAGTTAATTTCTTTAATCGATTGACAGCACTAGTTTTTAGTAAAGCTCATTTTTTCTTACCATCTTGTGTTTCACTACATTTTCATGCCTTGTATTTTTTACATTTACATTTACATTTAGTTATTTAGCAGACGCTTTTATCCAAAGCGACTTAAAAGTGAGATTTTTTTGCCACAAATAAAATCAAAAGTCTGACTGTTTGTAACATTAACCACACGTTCTGAAATTAAAGAGTTAAGAGGAATATCTCATACTAAACTTACCGCCTGTGTTACTGTCTAACTGGTTGTAAGCACCTTGTGAGGCCTTGGCTTTGACCCCACCATGATTTATTCTGCTGTGTGGGTGTGTTGGGTCACAGTCTTGTGATGGAAGACTTGAAGACTGTGGAGGAAGATCTCTTCTGTTTTTTTTTTAGTTTTAACAACAAATGTACCTTGTAGTTGATGTTGCCTTTAGGATGAAGTCAGTTTCTTCACACATCCTGCATCTGTCATGGCCTGCATGCTGCGGCACCGAAAGCAGAGCTCTGGCGCTGAGCCTATTTTTGAGAGCATCACGTGCAACTCAGCAGAAAACACTCTGACTATGCACTGTAGGCTTTAATGAAGCAGCATACAATACTCAAGTGAAGTACTCACACATTGTTTGAACAAGGACTGCATGCTCCACACCCAGTGACACAAACACAAACCTTTCTGTTACTTAAAATGATTTATAGCTGCACATTGGCTTTGGGGATCTGTGTAGATTAATTATCATTTGGATGTACATGTTACACACCTCCCCATATAAATTAGACTTCATGATAATCAAGCTTGTAATGATTTCCAGTAGCTCACTCTTGACAACCATTTTATCATTCATGGCCATGGAGCGATTGAGTGTGGTTTTTCAGAAATCAGTTTATTTTCTGTATAGAGTCATGGAACTTGACAGAAGTGCTGTCGGTTGAAAGCACAACATTAACCTGCTGCTGAAGCCACAGACCTGCACTCTGTGCATGCACTCAACTCAAGATGTGTGAAACAGGCCGTACTCCATGTTGAAAAAAACCAGCATATGCTGGTTAGGTATGTTTTGTACATGTTACACACCTCCCCATATAAATTAGACTTCATGATAATCAAGCTTGTAATGATTTCCAGTAGCTCACTCTTGACAACCATTTTATCATTCATGGCCATGGAGCGATTGAGTGTGGTTTTTCAGAAATCAGTTTATTTTCTGTATAGAGTCATGGAACTTGACAGAAGTGCTGTCGGTTGAAAGCACAACATTAACCTGCTGCTGAAGCCACAGACCTGCACTCTGTGCATGCACTCAACTCGAGATGTGTGAAACAGGCCGTACTCCATGTTGAAAAAACCAGCATATGCTGGTTAGGTATGTTTTGAAGCATGGCAGCTGGTTTGAGCTGGCTTAAGCTGGTCCTGAGCAGAAGCTAGTTGCTTAGGACCAGCACATGACCAGCTTAAACCAGCTCAGGACCAACTAAGGACCAGCTCAAACCAGCTCAGGACCAGCTTAAACCAGCTCAGGACCAACTAAGGACCAGCTTAAACCAGCTCAGAACCAGCTTAAACGAACTCAAACCAGCTGCCATGCTTCAAAACATACCTAACCAGCATTTGCTTTTTTTCAACATGGCTGTCACATTCACAGCTCTGAGCTGATCTGATTCTCGGCAGTGCAAGCATCCTGCACACTTGTAACACACATTATGAATAAGTACTTCATCTGCACGAGAGTGGTTATGAACTGTGCAGTTGTAGTAATTGAGTGGCACTAGAAAGATACGACACACATACAGGTCGTCTGTTGCTTCTGAACATGCGTCACAGTAACACTGATTGAAATCATAAATGATTCTCCACTTGAAAAGAATGTCGATACTGATTATTCCTTATGCATTCTTGTCCTCCAGGTCCCTTAGAGTGAATCTACCATGGACCCCGTGCTCTGTCAGATGCTGGTCATGGGAATGGCTGTAATGATGGCCCGTGCGTGCCCCAAGTACTGTGTGTGCCAGAACCTCTCAGAGTCACTGGGGACCCTGTGCCCGGCCAAAGGTCTGCTCTTCGTGCCACCTGACATAGATCGCAGCACTGTGGAGCTCCGGTTGGGCGGAAACTATATCCTTCGAATCACACAACAGGACTTTGCCAACATGACAGACTTGGTGGACCTTACGCTCTCCCGCAACACAATAAGCTACATCCAGCCCTTTTCCTTCGGGGACCTGGAGACCCTCCGTTCTCTTCATATGGATAACAACCGTTTGGTGGAGTTGGGCCCCGATGACCTGCGAGGGCTGGTCAGCCTGCAGCATCTCATCCTCAATAACAACCAGCTGGGTCGAATCTCTGAGAAGGCGTTTGAAGACCTGGCGGCATCGCTCGAGGATCTGGACTTGTCCTACAACAACCTTCAGGCTCTGCCCTGGCATTCAGTCCGGCAGATGATCAACCTGCACCAACTGAGTCTGGACCACAATTTGTTGGACTACATCCCTGAGGGGACCTTTGTGGATCTTGAGAGGCTGGCCCGCCTAGACCTGACCTCTAATCGGCTCCAGAAGCTTCCGCCGGATCCTATCTTTGCCAGGGCGCAGGATTCTGAGGTGATGACCACATCATTTGCGCCTCAACTCTCACTCGGCATAGGAGGAAACCCGCTTCACTGCAACTGTGAGTTGCTTTGGTTCCGGCGTCTGGAGCGAGACGATGACCTGGAGACTTGTGCCTCACCTCCCGGCCTGAAGGGCCACTACTTCTGGAACATTCGGGAGGACGAGTTTTTGTGTGAGCAGCCTCTGATTACTCAGCACACCCACCGCAAGCTGGTTCTGGAGGGGCAGACTGCCAATCTACGGTGCGAAGCCATCGGAGATCCCACCCCAACCATACACTGGGTGACCCCTGACGATCGACTGCTCGGGAACTCCTCTCGCACTGTGGTGTACCGCAACGGGACCCTGGAGATCCTGATCACTACTTCCAAGGACTATGGGACCTTCACTTGCATTGCAGCCAACCTGGCAGGTGAATCAACTGCTTCAGTGGAGCTGTCAATTATCCAGCTACCCCACATAAGCAACGGCACAGGCCAGGCGTCGCAACCCAAGTCCCGCCTTTCAGACATTACCGGCAGCTCCAGGACCGGTAAAGGTGCTCCCAAAGGCCAGCCAGAGAAAGCAGTGTCTGTGTCTGAGGTGACCGCCGTGTCTGCCTTGGTCAGTTGGTCCGTCAGCAAGACCGCTCCCAAAGTGAAAATGTACCAACTACAGTACAACTGCTCAGATGATGAAGTGCTCATCTACAGGTACGAAGCAGAGTGGCTTCTTTCACATTTCCAGGGCTATGACTGAAATACTGATCCTAGGGTTGGGTACCGTTCACATTTTAACCGGTACGGTACCAGTATCGGTACCTGAATTTCGGTGCCGATACCCGACGGTACCTTTTTTCGGTACTTTACTCTCTGTGTAATTACAAAACATTTATTTCAGTGAAAAAATAAGTCCAAAAGTCTCAATTTCAACATTTTGAACAATAGGGCCCTATAACTTTTTCTTTCTTTCTTTTTCTTTTTTTCCCCCCAGAAATTCTTGTTTAATTTTTCTGAAAATTGAATGAAGGCTTTAAACATTTATTTTAAATCAAATGAAAATTAAACCCTTTTATTTTTTGGCAAACAAACTGAGGTTTACTGTTGAAATTAATACATGGAAGAAAAATTGTGTGAATATTCCTTTAAAACATTTTTGAATAGGCTAATAATTGTATTATTTTTTTCTACAATTAAGTGATTAATCTAGTTGTAATATTTATTTTTATCATTTAATTGTTTTATTTAAATTTGATAGAAAATGGAATATTTAAAAATGTACATTATACTTTACAAAAGTAATACAAGAGTAATATATTTCTGTTACATGTTAAACCGTACTTTTATTTTGACAGGTTGCCATGAAGTTTCTGTGTGTATACAGTATGATAATGCTAGTTTTCTCAAATGAAAAGGTAAAATTCTCGCGAAGTGACTCTCATAGCAGCTCAGGATTAAGTTTTTGTGTTCATGCCGTCATATAGTGAGACGCAGAGGCCGAAAATCACAGCGAGCTTCACGCGTGCTTCAGTATTTGTGTAGTAAA